CTCCCCTCCATCCAACCTTTAAAAAAATCGATGCAGTTTAGACAATACGGGCTGCGATCATATTGTCAGAAAATAGCCGGATTGAGAGACACAGAGTCACAGCAGAAAGATCTAGATTTTACTCGATACAATTTTCCCCCACACTGCTAGGAATGAAACTCGGGTCTCCTGCAAGTGACGGTTAAGTGCCTAGCTGTTACACCACAGACGCCTGTGGTCTCGTGTTAAAACGCCTCGAAAGTTTTAAAATCGAAACGTTTATGTTGAGCGAAGACAAGCCCATCACCACCATGCTAGTCTTTTAGTGCCAAGAAGAAATGAAATGGTGTGTGGTTTAACGCCCCTATCGACACTGTTAGGTTGTTTAAGAGACAGGACCTCTGAGTTTTACGTCGATCTCCGAAAGGACCGAACCAAGTCGGAAATTCGTGTAAAGTGCCTTTCCCAAAGACACAACTTCGGACCGAGCAAAGGTATGAACCCTCAAACCCGCAATCTGGCGTTTACGAGTCCGGTAGCCAAACTACCGACGCCACTGGTGCCAGGAAGGACCAACAGGTCATTAAGAGGTGGCAAAGAGCAAGTAGTCGTTTAGAGCTTAGGTAATGAATGGTATTTTGGTGAGCAACTGGTCATTTATTGCAGGAAAGGGCAACTGTTCATTGAGTCTGCGAAAGGGCAACTGTTCATTCAGATGTAGGACCTCCTGGTGGCATCCTCCAATCACCAGATAGATATTTACGAGTGCTATTCCCCCATAAAAGGGAGTGTGCACAGGGCCCGCGCAGAAAGGTAGTCACTGCAAGAGAGTTTTTGGCCAATACATGACAAGCCTGGAGAAAAATAGGCCACGGACGATGTGTGTGATATAAGCTATAGACATAGTTCTCAATAGTGCACGATATCATTAACTTTGTTACAGACTGTAACCTGCCACCTGTTCTATGAACACGCCAAGCAGAACATGTTATGTGACTTGTTGGAGGTGCTAGTTGGCTATGAGAAAAAAAAACCGAACTATGCTGATAAGATTGTGTAATACATTTTGCATTAAAAAGTGCAACATAGGAGAGAGAGAGAGAGAGAGAGAGAGAGAGAGAGAGAGAGAGAGAGAGAGAGAGAGAGAGAGAGAGAGAGAGAGAGAGAGAGAAAAAAAAGAGGGAGACAGAGAGAGAGACGAAATAAAACAATATCTGTCATGCGCGAACATCTGCGTGAAGCTTAACATTCAGAACAAAAAAGACCAACATATTGAAAGGGCTTGCCGATTTCCCTCTCGAATCACGCCATTGTCAAAACAAAGGCAAAAGGAAGTTGTATTTCTCTTTATGTAAGAGTGATCGAACTTTTGAGGTTGCCAGATAGATTTCAAAACTGGATAATATACAATAATTCCACCTCATTGAAATAGCAAATAACTCGAGTGACTGACATTTTCTAAAATTCATAAGCAGTGAAAAAAGGCATTTGAATTGAATTCAAATGTTTGATTTGTTTTTGGGCGAATCAAACCTCCTCTTGTCAAGATGTAGTTGAAAGGCGGATATCCGTTTCTTCGTTTGAGTTGTAAATAGAAAGAACTCAACCGATATATCGTCGTAGATTGAGGCGGGGCACAATTCAAATGGTTTTCCTCCAAAGGGATGGGACAGACCAAATCGGCTTTTAAAAAAGCACAGAAAAGTGCAAAAAAGGGGAGGGGGGAGGAGGGGGAGGAATGGAACCCGGGACTCACAAACGCGTGACCAACTGAGCTCAATATTAGCTTGACTTTCACTTCTCCTGGGATTAAAGTAAAGTTGGATTTTTTTCAGACTTTCACATTTCTTTTATTATGGCTTAATAACTGCAACTAAGGTCACTCCCCGGCACTTATACGTCATGCATTTTAAGTACCTTTCACTCACAAAACTTTATAGAATTCGTTCGCCGGGAAAACATAACGACAGAACAAAACAAATACACTCCGTTTCTAACAACAAAAGCGATTTCATTAGACCCACCTGAAGTACTCGAACAACCAATGATTGTTTACTAACGTTTAACTACTAAGGCGGGAGCGGTGACCCTCTCGGCAGGTAATCCATCGCATATCCCCTCAAATCTTAAACTTAAAATTAAAACTCAACTTACATTGATCTTGGCTTCTTATCAGCGAAACACACAGGTAAGACAGAAACCTTTTGTTGACAACGTGCAAGCTGAACGCACGCCTGGACGTAAATCGAGAATTCTTTTTGCTGAGACAAGAGCGATTTGACACGCACTTCTCAGCAAACGCACTTAAGGACTTCACGGGCAAAAAATAAAATGTGAATTCAACGAAGAGGACAATAAACGCATTAGGTCTGATCCTAAGGGATACATTAAGCTAGGCCTTGTTGGAGAAACTCCCTACCTCCCAAGGAATGCCTTTTCAGACATGGATTGGTTCCTGTATCAGAAAGTGAAGGCCTCGGGGTTCAAATCCAGAGGTTCAAGTCTCTTGAGTGTTTCAGTTCACCAGCGAGTGATGGTGTAGCGGTAAGGTGCTTCGACATCGCACGCTGAAGATCCCAGTTTGATTCCTGAGTGGGGAGGATTTTTATCGAGTATCTCGGTCTTTCAACTGGGATGTTGTATCTCTCTCAGCTGGGGTTGGACCTGACAGGCATCAAGCCTGCCTCCTAAATGATCTACATTGTGTCGACGGGGACATGAACACATCTACATAAAAAGAACAAGTTTGAGCTCAAGTCAGGAGAAGCAAATCGAAAACGAAAATGGCCATCTAGTTCTGAGAGAGAGAGAGAGAGAGAGAGAGAGAGAGTGAGGCATTGACTCGTCTCTTTGTCGCTTGGTACAGTGTAGAGATATCGGTATCGTGTCACATCTCCAGACAGGTCACGAGAGTGTGGGAAAATATATTTAGCGGACTGCGTCGAGATATTCATGATATGCAAGATGGGAGGGTAATAGACTCACAAGGGAGTGTGAG